AATAAACCATGATCTTTAAAAATGTATTTATATAATATGTAATGCTAGGACTAACATTCTTCAATATAATTTCAATATAATGCTCAAATTGTTTTTAGACCGCCAAGTTTAAAGCGTCAATGAGAAAACTTGACATGAAGGGCATATTAGAAGAAGGGTTACTCAGAAACCTTTGGAGAAAGAGTGATATTGATTTGAACAACTTTGAAACGTTTGTAGAGTTGATGAAGCAGTTTAGTTTTCTTTGTGACAGAAAGACTTCTGAGGTAAAAAGGGCGTAAAGAGACGTATGCACATGTCGTGCTACAAAGTCAGTATCAGGCAGTTAATCAATGCATTCAATGTTTTTTTTCATGACACACTTAGGCGAGACGACAATGAAAAAAATCTTTCTTTTGTATAAAAATTAGATAATGAATTGCTTTTTCAAATGAAAAATTAGATATCAGCTTTCAATGAGTCATAATTTGGCTGTAGTTCGTCTACACATTTTTATTACTTCACTTTTTTAAAAGTAAAAATCCCAATAGAATTTAGCATTATGTGAATTACTATAGGAATAGTAATACGTAAAATAACGTTTGCCATATGTCGATATTTTTTAATTATTTTAAGTTATTAGATAAAAGTAATATACAAAGAAAGCTATACAATAATGATTACATGTACACTACTTGTTAACAGGCCTCAGATGAAGCTCGTTCTTTCTTTGTTCCATTGCGACTTGCACTTGAACACACGTCATCCGATAAAAAGAGACAGGTAGATAGTTATGGGACGCGCGCTATCAGTATTTACCACGGTTTCTGTGGCTACCTGCCTGACGAGTTGTTTCCAATGATAGTCACTGAGTTTATTAACACGTTTGAAGGAGAAACAGACCCAGAACTGGCACATGATCGTGCAGAACTCTACTTTGATCAACATCATCATGTAGTTTTGTCTGTAGTCACGTTCAACCGAAAACGAATACTTAAGGTATAAATAATCTAAATTTCAGTCTCTGGTTTTAGTTATTTTATAAAATACCGTACACAAAACAGTTTAGGTATTTATTTAATTAATTTATTTAATATACCTGTTAAAATATTCTGCACAAATAAAAAAATGGGGTTTATGTCAGTCATTTTTGATAAATTTCATACTTTTAGACAACACTTATAAGAAGAGAAGCAATCAATGAAGCAAAGATAAGCCTGGACCGAGAACCTTCTTCGGAAGCATGCAAAACTGTATGTAGAGATTCCTTTTTCATTTAAATGAACAATAATTGTTATCATGTAATTATGTGTTATCCCGTGTCATTACGTAGGCATTCTTTAAGTAAATTCTGACATGCTGACCTTTCAGTTGCGAGATCTTCAATATTCAAGATTTGATTTAAATGTCAAATAAAAATAAAACTATATTAAATGTGTTTTTATCGAGTTGCTAGTAGGGCGAATTTTATTTGTTGGTTTTGCTATTTCATTTACCTAGTCAGTATTTAGCTTCCGAGAGAAATATGTGTTTTTGCTTAGATTTTGAATACACGCCTTTGTTTGTTCCAAACAATCATCAGTGATTACACATACATACTAATGCAGACTCTACCTAAATTTTATTATTTACATTTATGGTTAATTTCTTTATTAATTTTTCTATAATTATCTTATTGATGTAAAAATGAAGTAGAAAGTAATGGTTAGAGCACAAGTTTACATTCGTTAAAGATGTCCACTCTCCTTAAAATCTAGGCCTAAAAATGCAGTGGTTTATTACAGGTTTTGAATTTTCTTGAGGAGTCATTCAAGCGTTCCCAACAGGGCAGTAGAAGAGGAATCAAATATGAACGATGTATTCCTTGTTTCTGTAGCAAGAATTCTACTGAGAATGTACACATTCAAACGCTGGGAAAGTTTGAGAAGGACATGCTTCCATGCGGAAGAGAGGGAATGCATGTTGTACGTTACAAACGACTATTTGGAGGTACGAAAAACATAGGCATGCACATTCACATTTAAACAAGTTCTCAGCTTGTAACTATTGTAACTATTAAAAATAAATGAAAATTAAAAGTCAAAAACACTTGTAGCTAAGTTACAAAACAGTAATTCAATATTTTGAACTTTACTTGGATTATCATCGTCATTATCGTCATAATCATAAACCATTTTTTTTTTTCAAATATGCTCCTCAATATTTTACTTTAAAATGGGTCAGTCCATCGTGATGTCTAACTATTATTTCTTTATAGTTATTTTCATAGTAACGTACGACATTTAAATATATGTTTTTTTTTTAAATATAAATAATATACATACATATACATTGTACTCGCATACATGTCAGGATGACAAGTAGCTTACATTAATCAAATATTGATTAGAAATCCTAGGCATATGTCAACATACCTACATACATACACACTCACGTTAATATTCGCATACTCATACCTATATGTGCAATACCCACACTTACACAATAAGCTTAAATTGGGGCCTAAAAAAATGAAGAAGTTATCTACATACACATAACTCCATAATGCCATTTTATTTATTTTTGTTTTTGTTTACCTTTTAAATTTTATTTAATAACTTTCTGTTATAATACTCTATTGAAAATAAGGTGGCAGTGGAATTAAGCTTCCATTTACCAATTTACCAATGTGCTTTAACGCTCGAGCCTTGTATATGCAGAATGCTCCAAGACTACAGATATCATCTAAAAATCTGTTGCCTGTACCTAGTACAATGTTATGAAATGACAGTGGTGTTTCTAATTTGAATCTATAATTAATAAAATTCCACATTACTCTTGCTTCTTTACATTCAAAAAAAATAATGTAATTCATCATCCAGTACATTGCATTCAATACACCGATTATCCTTAACCATCATATATTTAAATAATAATTTTCTTGTAGGTACAATCATGTGAAGTAATTTAAAGTTCAATTGCCTAATTACATTATCCTTATTATTTTTTAGTTTACTGCGCCAGGTGTGTATCCAGTCTCTGTTTTCAGTCTTTAACAAAATTTCCCATTTCCGTTGGGTTTGAACAGGAGGCTTCGCAGTACTCTTTTATAACAAACAATAAATTTGATTTGTTGTCATTTTTAGAATGGGGTTTCAAATACTTGTATGCTTGGGCATATCCTTATTACTTACTACATTTTTTGTTAATACACGCTTCCACTCTTTAAGAATGGCTTTTAACAAACATGAACATTCTCACATCCAGTTATGTTTGGCATTCAGTTTATACCTAAGCTCAAGAGATGGGAGAAAATTGTTGTTTTTTATGATGTCTTTAACCTTTAATATTCCTGAGTTTATCCAATTCCGGTAGTATACAGAGTTATTATTTATACACACAAATGTGTTTCCCCATAATATTGTTCAGCAATACCACTGAAACATTTGGGATATAAAAACTGCATATCATTGACATGTGACATTGCCTTTAAAATAGAAATATAGAAGGGGGTATTTTAATACATTGAGGTAATTTTGTAAAATTTGAGAATTGGTGCAATTTTCTCAAAATATTTTAATGGTAGGAATTTCCATTTCGCCTTCTCGTTGTCGTGTAAACGTTTAAACCACTTAACTTTAAAAGCCATTACTTGCGACTTAAAATCAGTCACTCTAAGACCCCCATGTTCGTAATCTCCATACACGGTACTTCTTTTTATTTTATATCTTTCATTTTTCCAAATGAACTTAAAAATAATTTTTTCAACATCTTTGATAACACTTTCTGGTACCTCAAGAATACCAGCATTATAAATAAGCTTTGATAATGCAAGAGTTTTAACGATCGTTAATTAAATGTTTAATAAACCGCAGCGAAGGCTCGTGCTGAATACTTTACATCTGAAGTTAATTTCAGATATCAGATTATTTAGATCAACAGCTAAACTAATTCATTCTTTCGTGACCTCAAACCGCCTGTTGTTTTATATTCTTTCTTACCGACTGACCTAATGCTTGATCCAGAATTACGAAAAGACTATGCTGCCTCTTTAATATATTGTCTGGGCATTATTTAGACTAACACGGCTACAAAGGCTTACGAGAATACAATTTATATATAAATTCTTTTGTAATAGATTTTTTGGCCACTTTGGCGCTCTAATGAATTGGCCACAAAATTAAAAGTGTAACTGTCCTCTGAATATGAGTTTTCCAATGGAGGGTTTGTAGAAGCATTGATAATCAGTATTATTTTATAATTTTTTTTTAGATCGAAGTGTAGCAGCACCGAAGGAGGAGGCATATGCTAAAGGTATATATATATTATATATTAGGCTTGTATCATAAAAATATTATTAATAAAATTTCCTTTCAATTTTGTAGCTACATTTTTCAGTGCAAGTTTTTTTCTTCCGTATATATAGACGGTAAGGTAAAGGTAAAGGTACGAGAATAACCAATAACTTGCAGCGTCGTTGTAATGAATTGCGTATGGGCGTGATCCGTGACTACCTAGCAGCTGTAAAGAGGCGCTTCATGGTAGCTACATGTTCACATCATTCCACGACAGGGGCTGAAATAAACCATGACACTGGGGTAACCCACCACTCTTCCGAAAGATGTAATGGGTTCTTTAAAGTGCACACGAGCCAGATGTATACAGTCCTTATTCGACAAGACTTGGTTCTACCAACCGAACCATGGGCGAATAGCGGCTGGAACCAGCGCCGATGTTAAGGCTGTAGCTAACGGCGCCCCTGCCTTACCGCTCGGACACTCGACTCGCCCAGACGCAACATATTACGCAAATTTGAGTTTGATGATTACTCAAATGTTTTATTTATTACAGGTTTTGGAGTAGAGGAGTCAAAATTTGCGGCAATACTTGTAATGATCTCAAATGATATCGAAGACCTAACGATTTGGAAAGTAGCACTCAGTGATCACATTAAGAATGCTGACACTTTACAGAAGGCAAAACGCGCTATTCATCTGTTTGATGCATTGATTGACAGTGAAGATCTAAAAGCCTGGGATATTGCATTCCTCCTAGAGACCATCAAACTAACAAATGTACTTCGTCTGCGCAAACACATCCCAAACTGTCCATGCCTTAAAAATATAAAGATCACTTACTTCTCAATGTTCAGGCAATCTGTGATGGATTTTGGAATGGATCTTACAGAACATGACATTGGTTCAATTGCTTTCAGATATAAGTCTAAGCTTCATCGTCACAAGTACGGTAGTGACAAATGGTCACTGATAATGGACTTAGAAAGAAGCCTAATTTTGGCTGACGATGATTTGTCATTTGAGGATTTCAAATTAAGCTTAGAGCAGATGGAACTTGGGCGACTGAACAAGTGGCTAAAGCGCTAGTGTAAATTATTGTTCTAACAAACTTGTAAATAATCAATACAGGAACAGCGCGCAACAATATTAGATGTCCAACGAATCCTTCCTGTCAATCAAGCTTAACTACTGACCAATAAGAACATGTTAATTAATAGCCAGAAATATGCGCATGTCCCAAAAACGTTTACATTACGTTCTCGTTATGTGGGATCTTAGAAACAATCACCAAGATTTTACTATTCCGCTCTACTTTTCAGATAATGTGCTTTGAAAAAAAGCTATATAATTTTGTGTGCGCCAAGGCTTCATTGAAATGTATTCTTTAATTTATCCTATTTTAAACTATAATGACATGCTGTATGAAAATTAATCTGGCTTCAAACCAGGATACTCAACAGCCACCACAATGCTAAAAACAGAAGGCTGGCTAAATTATATTGATAAAGGAAAATATATAGGACTAAGAATATTCTAATCAACAAACTTAAATCCTTCCTTCTTCATAACAATGTTATCAACTGGTTCAATAACTACCGTATCTCTGAAACCGTATTCATATTACTAGTGTAAATTGGGCTAGCTCTGAATACAGCACCTGAGGAATCCCACAGGAGTCAATACTGGGACCTCTCTTATATGTTAATGAATCACCCACATGTATGCTGATGATAACCACAATTTATTACTGTACATAGATGAAGATATTGAATATCCAACAATTGATAATGATATGATAAACATTAAAAGATGGCTCATATATATTAAGCTAAAAAGTTTGAATATAAAGAAACATTTAATATTTGATAATAGGCACTAGGCAAAAACTATCTAATATATCTGATGTACTAATTAATATAAACATAGATGGAGACTCAATCACCCATGTTGCAGTAGTAAACATCTTTGTGTAGTTATAGATAAAAATCTGTCCTGGTGCTCCCAGATAGACCATGTAAAAAGCAAGGCTCCGCAAAGCCTATATTATCTGAAAAAAGCTAATCAAAATCTTCCAAATGCAAACTTTTTTTTCTATGCAAACTGCATAAATCACTTATGGCTTCCCATGTTGAATATTGTCATGTCATATGGGGGACTTTCAAATAACACTCAAAGCAAAGAGCTCCAAATACTCCAAAACTTGCAGCTAAAACAATTACAAAAACATCAAGAAGTGACTCCCAGTACACAAGCTCTGCAAAACCTTAAATGAAAGAACTTGGACGAAAGACTGTTCTTAAATGAGGCCATCACTATGTATAAGATTATGAATAAACTTGCACCTTCTTATTTATGCAACAAATTTATTATCGGAGATAATTAGTACAAAATTAGAAGTAAACCAAAATTACTATTACCAAACCAAGATCTGATTATAAAAATAGGCTTATCAGGTAGGGGTGCAAACATGTAGAATGGTATTAGTGAAGACCTAAAAAATGTTATAAATGTCAATTTTTTTTTTAATTGCTACCATGTAAACACCTATTTCTTGTTCATCCATTGTGATATTGCATTTCTGTTTACAACTATATATTAGCTAATGATTTTGATTTTAAGTTTAGTTTTTAATTAAGGTTCAGTAAGTGCCTTTTAGATAATTTTTTTCATTTTATGTTTTTATGATTTAGATAGAAGGCAGACATTTTGTAACCGTAACCTATGTCTTTCATGATGCTCTACTGCGAGTGCTTTGCAATCAGGACATTTCGTAACCAAGGCATTCCAGGTCTCAAAGTGTCTAGTTGCGAGGTATCCGTGGCAGTCACTGGGGATCTGGGTTTTTGGAGGGTCCTAGTTACAGAATGTCGACATTTCCATATGGAATAATCGTTGTATAAATGTAATTTTTGGTTTTCTTTAAGTTGTACAGTTAACTAAATATTAGCCTTATGCTACTGTTTTTTAAATTGCTTTCAAATCTGTAAATTTTATTTTGTTAATTTGTTGTTTCTCCTTCACGGACTTGAAGAACAACTATTGTTGAAACAAGATTTCCAGTGCTAAAATAAAGCTAATTATTATTATAATTATAATTATTATAGTCTTTATGTAATGTATTACCCATATAGCATTTTATAGCCCAGTGAATTGCTTAACCTAAATATAATGCACCAATACTTATAATTTGCAAATATAAAAAATATTATGTCACATATGCTCATTTCATTGTGTTACTACATCTTGCGAATAATATCTCTCTTGATCGTTCTGAATTATAATTATAAAGATAGGTCATTGCTTTGCAGTTCATTGTAATTTACAAGATCCTATCACTCACTTTACAGTAGCCATATCCTTTGTTATGTTATAATTTTAAAGACATCTAAAGCTCTCTCCAAACTGTCAAATTGTGTTAGACAAAAACTGTTGTTGTGGATATATTATTGTCATGAGGTGGTGATGTCATCATGACCATATTTAGGCATATCACATGTTTTTGTCCAATACAATTTGAAAGTCTGAACTGGGCTTAACAGCCTTTGACTTTCAAATTGCAGGTTACCATTTACTGGGAGGCTGTTTATATAGTTTTCTAGAAAGTGCTGTCCAGTAAGCCGCGTCCGTCCGGCGTTATAGTCTTGTATATGTGGGGGCGGGGTCAACAAAAGATTAAAACTGTATACAGTAGTTAAATCTTTTTTTTAAATTAATTGAAGTAGTCATTGATGTTTCATTTATTTATTTATTTTTTAGAGAATAAGTGTGTGTATACTTACGATTTTTTACTACATTTTTCGTATGTTAAGGGGGATTTTTTTTTATAGTCTTGTAGTGTTAGCAATTATGTCTTCTTGTTACTCATCGTTTTACTCAATTTAATTTAATTTAATCAAGCTTGGAGATTGGTAGTGCTCATTTCTTACGCAGAATATTCAAAATGTCAGTCCAATGTGGTTTGTTTGCTCGTTTTAACTCTCATATTTTTTCTCCTGTCTGGTAGAAGTTTCCTTAGTTGTTGAACTACAATTTTGGAAGCCTAGACTAAACGCTGAATACAGATCTCCTTCTTTCTTTAGTCGGAATTACAATTTAGAAGTCTTGAAGGATCAGAACCTATAGGCTAATCGTTGAATAAAATTATAATCATCACATGCAACATAAATAGTGGACTAAGCCTTTTTCACATTATAAGATATATTTTACTGTCCATTGGTTAATTTGATATCACTCTCATATACATATATTTATCATATTGCTTACTTAGGCTTTTTTCAATTCTATTTTTATTAGTTTTAATTTGGAAATTGCTAAACGAACGTCGTTGAATAAGATTAAGGTCCCTTTGCGTGCCTCGTTTTGTTCGTTGTATGATGGAAACACGCCGGCCGACACAGTACCGGTTGGTCTATCCCTCCACTATAGTACATTTTTAGGAAACTCTTTTCAGAAATTCCTTGAAAATTACTAAATCATCAGGAAATAAAAAAGTTCATCGAAATTTAAAGTGAAAGGACATTACAGAAATAAAAATTTAAACAGTGATTAAGACAAAAAGTATATTGTAATCACTATAGGGATATATTATTTACGTGATCGGATGCATAATTGATTAGAATTTGCTGAAAGAGCAATAAAGTACAGTAAACACGTATCAAAACAAAAAGCTTGATTCGATAATTTTCTTACATGGGCGTAAATAATGTTGCACGCTATTGAATCGATACTTAAATAAAGTACCATATTCGTGTATCGGGTTTATTCGGCTTGCCCAACGATAGAAATGGAGAGTCTCATACCATGGAGGAAAGAAACCTATATGCTCGTACTACGGTACGCAATCTTTGTTATAGTTAACGTGGTCGCTTTTGTCGCAACATCCGGTAACATAGGCCTGTATCATATATCACCCGGAGAAAATGTGTACGAAGGTAGTGACGTGATATTTGAATATAATGTTTCCAATAGAATAGGCTCGTGGTATCTGAAATTTTACGATAATCGCTCTCGCGTATATATACTCATAGATCCTGTAAAAGAATGTGATATTCCATCAAGATCAGACTGGACATGCTCCATTATTGATCAGGTTGACAGTTGCACGGTATCCATTAAAAAGAAATTTGTAAACGTTAATGATTCTGCAAAGTACACTCTATGCCTCTATTTATATGGATCACATACAGACATACTCTCTGTGTATTTAGATATTCAAGCTCTTCCAAAGTGCTTAAGCTCAAATGTTAGTTATATTTCATTCGAAAATAAAACGGAATGTTCTATGATCCAAGAAGACACAGCGAAATGGTACAGGAACGGTATTTTGCAGTCCAACTCAGAAGTCATTGATGACACTATGTTCCGGCTTATAAGTCAGGGGACGCGCTCTTTTTATTTTACTTGTACAGCAGTTATTAATGGAACTGAGCGATCGTGTAGGCAATCATTAGACATACGTATCAATCATGTTCCGCCTGGATCTCTTGCGGTTGGTGATGTTATCATGTTTCAGTGCGTAGCTACGAGATTTCGCGCCCTATTAAACTATACGTGGTATGTTAATGACTCAGTGGTAAATCAAACACAAACGAAAGCAGGTACTCATATAAATTATATAACTTCGCTATTAAACTCTAAATATTTTGTGATCAGAAATCTAACGAAGGAACTGAATGGAACACAGGTCACATGTACCGTTACTATTGGGAAAAATACGATGTCCGCATCGGTTGTAATCAGGATGGAAAGAAAAACATTGAAGAACACATCATCTGACAAGACATGCATATTCAACAATAAAACAACGTCGGAGACTTCACCAGATTACCGACTGTACTGGCACACATCTTTGGCAGGAAACTCAATTCTTGTGTGTGCTGTGCTTGTGCTTATCTTCTGCATACTTTTCCGTAACAAGGTATATCGGAAAAAACGAGATAGAAACAAATCAGCGCTTATTAAAAGTGGTCACTGCATTGGTCAAGATGGCTATGTTAAGTACAAAACAGAAAATTGTGATGAGAATGCTTATCAAAGCATTGCTGATACTGTGTATACATTTCTGTAAACAATATTTATGTTATAATGAACGATTGTACTCTATGAAAATGTACATGAATGTATGTCTAAACAATAAGCTGTAGTACTATCAAATGCATTTCTAAAAGATGGTCAAAATCCATTTTGCCGAATGCCAGTTTGCCGACTCAAAAACAATGAATCCCAGTTTGCCGAACCCAGGTTGGCGAAAGTTAATTAAAAGAAGTGAAACATTACAGCAGCAGCATAAAACTCACGATGGAATACTCTCCTCTTATTATGGACCTATATTTAATAGGGATATATATATATAGATATATATATATATATATATATAATATATATATATTATATATATATATATATATAAGAAATAAATCAAATCAAACAAAGCAATTGTTTTCATCTCAGAGATCCATGATTATCTAACACTGCAAGAAAAGGGTTGACTTTGTGTAGTGTAATATCAACACTTCTAACTTGAATAGAAAACGAAAAACTTAAAAAAAAAAACATATCGTATCGAGTTTTGCTGGATCACACGAGCTTATAAATACTGTAAAAACAAAAGATCGAGTGCCTCCAAAATTTTATAAAACATAGGCCTACGTTTAATTTTTTGAATATCGAACCACCAATATTAAGGAATATCAAATTCTACGAAGAACTCAAAAAGGTCGAACTCAAAGGAAAATTTGTTTCTTAACGAAATGCACGATTGTTACGCATTCTTGCGACAAACGTTTTACTTTTGATTTCTTAGTTAAGCATTGACATTATATTCAATATTCATATGAAAAGCACACTTGAGGGTGGTGAAGAGTCGAAAGACTACATGAAACGTATATAAATTAACATACGTACGGAAGGGCCGACATATCTCAACAACTAGTCGCAAAGTGTGGTGAATCTCATTTGAATATTGCTTTTATTTACTTTGTAGTTTAAGTTTTGATCGTACACGTCGGATATGGCAAGACTAGACGTTACAGATTTATGATTTCAATTTGATTTTTAGATTTATTATTTGTTTTTCACTTTGTTTCAGTTATTTTTCAATTTATTATTCATTCATTCATTGGGATTTTTTCATTATTCAATTCGGGAATGCGAGGCTAGGTCGTTAAATCAATTGTTTAGTGATCCTATATTTACCGGGACCGACATAAAGCATGCAGTCATGTTGGTACAAATTTCTTCCTGGAGCACCAGGAATGCCAACACTCCAAACGTCAGTATGCTCTACTGTACGGAAGGTACATACAGTTGCCAATTTCTTTTCGCATTGCTTTGAATACATGATTAAATTGTAGTTAATAATGAATTGATATTGTGCTTGGAATCCCCCCATAGACATTAAGTCATATTGGTTTCCATCGGATGCCAATACCCCCACACAATGACTACAATGATCTACGGACCAAGTACATATCAGTGTAGTTAAGTTTTTTTGTAGTTTAAGATGGATTTGTTAAAAAAAAAAGAGAGAAAAAGAATGGAGAGAAAGAGAGTGAATATGAGTAAATGATGGAAATTGACACGTATTCATCTTGCACCACTTGTATTATATGCTATGAATTTTTTATGTTTAACGATTTAATTTTTTTTTAATGAATTGATATTGCTTTGTGCCTACTACACATTGTAGTACATTTTACCTTATGTTATGATGTTAAAAAAAAAAATTAATTGAAAGGGATGTAATGTAGTATTAAGGTTCAATGGTATTAACTTGCATAACCATTGGAATCGATACCCTTCACCTGATAAATGCCTTAAATTGGTTTGACAGTTTTAATGGTCAACTTGAGTATATAATCTAATAATATAACTGGACTTTGTATAACTTTACCCTAGTCAGTTGGACTTGGCCTTTCTCACACTATGACTCTATGATTGTCAGTTTTGAGCCTAAGCTCTGAAGTTTGTGATATATCTTAATTAGCAGTTTTTTGGTAAACAAGTTAATAAATCATAGAGAAAGAATTTCTCTATGATCCAATCAGAAACTCTAAAAGTATGGGATGACTTACTTGAGACATACCCCCATTACCTAAAGTATAATAGGCAAACACCCCATATCACTGAGTCAGTAATCAGTAGTCAGTAGTCAGTAGTTAGATTCAACACAGAAGAAAGTACAGGGCTGAGCTGACTCCACTCTAAAAGGGTTCCCTAACATCTGAAACCTGGA